GAGTTCAACTTTTCGCATTCCAGTCTAGCGTCTTGCTCGCTTCGTAATCTCACTGATATTAAAATTGCTTAATTTTAAAACTACTCTATCTCAAGTAGTCTATTTTAGAGTTGGGCTAATAAATTGTCTCACTGAAAAAAATAAAATGTCCAAACGTCACTATTTGAAAGGACAAACCGACATACACACTTCCGCATATCCATATTTATGTTGTAATGTGTATAATTTATTGAACATAGAATCGATTTGGTTAGTGTAATAAAAAAATGTTTTGGAAACTGTTGGAATAGCTGTTACGCTTTTTTTTTTTTAAATTAATGTTCTAAATTACTATACAAAACGTTCAAATCGAATTTCGTTATTTTATGTGCAAAAATAGCTTTCTTCGGGCAGATAAAGGCTGATGATGATGATGATGATGATGATGTGTAAAAATAGCTTTCTTCCTTTTTCTATTCAAGTCTAACTTAACTTAGGACTTGCTCTTTTCCAAACATATTTGTGAGATATCAAATCAATTCCTAAACGCATTCGATACCTGTAATTCTAAAATGTAGCTATCTCCCTCTTTACTCAACTTCCGTCTTGTCCTTTTCCTAAGTGTTCGGTTAAGTGTGCGCTCATATATTAAAGAATACTTATTAATTAATACAGTGTTTTAATCCATATATGAAAATATTTAATACAGATTACATATCTATTATATTTCTTTTTTTAAGTGATTTTATGACCTGGTAACTAAGACCTTTAAGTCATGTCTTATTTTAATTTATATTCTTATTTTTATGAAAAATGATAATATGGAGTGAAATGAAATAAAATGATTAATTTGAGACATTAATCAACTGGAATGAAATTAAATGAAATGAGATGATATGGAATGAAATATAATGTTAGTAAGATGGTGGTCATTTACTAAGATTTTTTCAGTGGACTTTTTGGAGGATCCCGAGAAGTTGCGTCCAGCGGCTTTGTTTCATTTTCCCACATTTGTGCACTTTCACAGATATTAAACATTTAATAAACCACCGTTATTACACATTTAAACCTGAAGAAACACTAAATAGACAAAATAAAACAAATCACACAACTTCACTCCTAGCGTTCCCGCCAAAAAGTCCCTTGCTCTTTTCCAAATATATTTAATACAGATTACATATTTATTATAATCTATATGATGAATACAGATTATCTATAAAAGTAAATAATGATTATGCTTGGTTCTGTCAAACAAATTTCAATACCTATAAAAATTACTTTATCTTTTTCCATATAATATTTACGTATATGCATAAGTTTCTCGCCGGACCTTCTCAGTTAGTCGCGATTTCGATCCGGTGGTAGGTTCTGCGAAGCACTGCCCTTGCTAAGGCCAGCGTTAGAGCATTCTCTCAGGTTGAGCACCGTTAGCGCACCGACCAGTCACAGCGTGGCTGGAATAGCCCCATAAGCTACCTGCGAAAAATTTGGGAAAAAAGAAGAAAAAGTATATATACTATATCAATAAAAACGAATACCTACAGAAGAAATATAATTTATTACTGGTGGTAGGACATCTTGTGAGTCTGCACGGGTAGGTGCCACCACCCCGCCGTGAAGCAGTAATGCGTTTCGGTTTGAAGGGTGGGGTAGCCGTTGTAACCATACTGAGACCTTAGAACTTATATCTCAAGGTGGGTGGCGCATTTACGTTGTAGATGTATATGGGCTCTAGTAACCACTTAACGCCAGGTGGGCTGTGAGCTAGTCCAACCATCTAAGCAATAAAAAAATTTTTTTTTTTTTATCAAAATTAAAAGCGCATTTAAAATTGTTGCGAAAATTCAACTCAAACTGGTAATGCCTTAGACGGGGTATGTAAGGCGGCCACTGCCCCACTTGCCAGCGCGCGTTACGTCACAAGGCCGTTGACCCGCGCGGCTGCACTCGCCGTGTTGTCGACTCATGACCGAATTTTTTTATCTTTATTGCTTAGATGGGTGAACGAGCTCACGGCCCACCTGATGTTAAGCGGTTACCGAAGCCCATAGACATCTACAATGTAAATGCCGCCACCCACCTTGAGACATGAGTTGTAAAGTCTCACTTTTAACAGTACAACGGCTACTCCGCCCTTCAAACCGAAACACATTACTGATTGTTTTTAGGCTTGTCCGTGTTGTCTATGTTATTAAGCATGTCTCTCTGAACCGGAGCTCCCAAGTTCGAGGCGGAGAATGTCAGTATTGTTTTTTTTAAACTGCTACCTAATGATTCAGATTGGTAATGACAATGAAAATACGGTAGCGTCACTTTCGATCTCTTGGATGTGCTTTTACTGGTGGTAGGACGTCTTGTGAGCTCGCACCACCACTCTGCCTATTTTGTACCATGAAGCAGTAATGCGTTTCGGTTTGAAAGGGTAGAGCGGCCTTTCTACTGTAATGAGACCTTAGAACTCGTATCTCAAGGTGGATGGCGGTATTTACGTTATAAATGTCTATGGGCTCCGGTAACCACTTAAAACCAGGTGTGTCGTGAGCTCGTCCACACATCTAAACAATATAAAAAAAAAGTGAAACACGAATAAAACTTGCACTACAACTCCTTAAACTTCAACAAAAAAAAAACTCAATTACTGATATAATCGAAAAATATATTACGACTATCTAACGTGACAGACTTCGTAGTGCCTCAATCGATAAATAAAAAACCTAAACTTTTTTATAAAATAAGCTTAGAACAAACAAAAGGAGTTCGTCCGACGGGGGGGGGGACACATCAAAGGAAAAACAAAATTGTTTTTTTTATTTAATTCCGAGCATTTTCATATTTATACCTCTACCTCTTAAACCTTCTCTGGACTTCAACAAATAATAGCCAAATCGGTCCAGCCGTTCTCGAGTTTAACAAGACTAACGAACAGCAATTCATTTTTATATACATTATTACGATTTGGCTGTTTGTCTTCGATACCGTTAACCAAATAACCTTGAAGAGAAAGTTCCATTCAAACACGACAATATTCGTAAAGTCATTGAACTTGACATGTCGACTAGTCGGTTTTATGCGACTAGAATAATTAGACAAGTTAGATGGCTTTTTCGTTAATTACTATATTTCGTAGGATTGTTTTTTTATTTATTAAACTGACTTAAAATTTTACATTCCCTCGCGGGACGTATATTATTTAACCATTTTACTGTCATGTAGGTCACGGGTGCCCTACGCGGCGCGTACGAGTAATTAAGTACGAGTAATTATGTCGATTTATGTTACTAAGCGACTGGATTGCTTAACTTTGCCTTCTATTGTTTCCAATGTAGACTAAGTCTTTTAGGTCTCTTAGGTACTTATTCATTCTCAGTACCTTCGGATTCGTCTTCCTCAGACTCTACTAGATATTCCGACCCCTTAGTAACAGAAATCGACATAATTACTTCAGTGCGCCACGTAGGGCACCGGTGACCTTTAAGACAGTCAAAGGGTTAATAATAATGTCTTATTAATATGAAATACGATAAAATTCATCATCATCGTTCTCCTGTCCTTCTCCCAGTCACCNCTAACGTTGGACTGTTAATAATGTTGATATCTGTGGTCGTGGGTTGTCAGACAGCGGCCGGAGACGTGCACGGCGCTGGCGCGGCGCCTCGTGTCCACCGCGCTGGGCGTGCGGCTCAGCACCGCGCGTCAAGAGCGGGCCGAGGAGACCAAGCTGCTCACCAGGGCTCGAGGTACGCCCTCCCACACCGCGCCCCCCCACCCCGCACATATCTATAAACATCGATCACGCCCTCCTACACCGCGCCCCNTACTTATAGATTCATTCTCAGTACCTTCGGATTCGTCTTCCTCAGACTCTACTAGATATTCCGACCCCTTAGTAACAGAAATCGACATAATTACTTCAGTGCGCCACGTAGGGCACCGGTGACCTTTAAGACAGTCAAAGGGTTAATAATAATGTCTTATTAATATGAAATACGATAAAATTCATCATCATCGTTCTCCTGTCCTTCTCCCAGTCACCTGGGGTCGGCGCAACATGTTTTCTCCTTCCATACTCCACTATAATATACCATTTCTTCGCTCGCTCCCCTCTTACACATATCGTATTTCACGCAATCCATCAATTTTTTCTTAGGTCTACCTCTTCCTCTAAAGCCTTCCACATTCACAGTTAAAACTCTCTTAACAACCTCTTTATCATTTCGTCTCATCACATGTCTCTTCTCTCTCACAGATGATGACAGAGATGACAGAGATGTGACAGAACTTATCTGTCACAGATGCCACTTTGATCTATATACGTGGAGCAAAAACTTTGTAAACATTTTTACGATAATTGCGCGGACGGAGGAGTATAGAATTTCCCACACATATAGAGAAGGAGTGCAGAATGCTAATTTTTTTTTTAAATTATGCATTAATAATAAATACATTAATTCAATAAAAAAACAATACACACACTACTATGTATTTGACACACACACATATATAGTCTTTGTTTATTGTCAAACTTTTGTTTTTGCTTAAAGTCTGTAAGTAGTCAAATTGAGAATAGATTAATATTGTTTATCCATAGTATAGGTAGTTGAAATCTGTGATTATAGAAGTAATAGTCTGACAATGGAACCTTAATAATATTCAAACTTATTTATAATTTACTGGTGGTAGGACCTCTTGTGAGTCCGCGCGGGTAGGTACCACCGCCCTGCTTATTTCTACCGTGAAGCAGTAATGCGCTTCGGTTTGAAGGGTGGGGCAGCCGTTGTAACTATACTTGAGACCTTAGAACTTATATCTCAAGGTGGGTGGCGCATTTACGTTGTAGATGTTTATGGGCTCCGGTAACCACTTAACACGAGTTGGGCTGTGAAATCGTCCACCCATCTAAAAAAAACATATAATAATTAATTATAGTCGTATTTCGATTACTGCGGGACTACTAGTATATATTTGAAATACGATAAAACTGTGTGAATTTATTATAATTTGTCGTTTGTTTTGTTTTTTAGCGTCCGAAGTTCTATCGACGCAGCGGACGCTGGCTAAATGTCGACCTCTCCACGCCGCCACTCTCGAATCGAGGAACAAAGCTAAGAAATGCGCCGAGTTCCTACAACCGTACAGGTGAGTACACATTACTAGCGGACCCGACACACGTGCCCCTGAAAATTTTGTCCACAGCAGACCAGATCCAAACCATTCTCGCATCCACGGTATAGACGGTAGGCAGCGGCTTGGCTCTGCCCCTGGCATTGCTGACGTCCATGGGCGACGGTAACCACTCACCATCAGGTGAGCCCTACGCTCATCTGTCTGCAGCGGCAATAAAAAAAAACTTGAGCACGCACGAAAAATGTCATCAAAATAGAAGTTCAGTCATGTACACACGCATAGAACAATCATAAAAGATAAATTCTCAAATTCTTATCTGAAGCAAAGGTCATTTTGAGAACCACTGTCTCAGATTATCATACAAGGCTTTTCGTAGCCAATAGTAGACAAACTTTCAGTAGTCCCCAAACAAGTAAAATTCAATAAAATCATATTATTGAACTTTATTATTATTCTGATTAAAGTGACATTAAGTAGTTTGCCTCTTCTAATTGGTTAGACGGGTGAATGAACGCATGTGCCATCTGGCGTTAAGTTGTTATCGTAGCTCGTAGACTTGCCGCCACCCACCTTGGGACTTGATTGAACACTATTATAGCCGCCTTGCTGGATCCGAGTATATCGAGTGTATTATGGTATCCTTTGGGTTACGATGACTTTGAACTTCGCAAAAATTAAATGCTACCCCAAATTATTATTACCACCACCATCACCACCACCCTGCCTATTTCAGCCGTGAAGCAGTAATGCTTTTCGGTTTGAAGGGTGGAGCAGCCGTTGTAACTATACTGAGATCTTAGAGCTCATGTCTCAAGGTGGGTGGCGGAATTTATGTTATAGATGTCTATCGGCTGTGAGCTCGCCTAGCTATTACGCAATAAATAAATAAAAACTCTAAGACATGAGGTCGAAGCCTCAATATAATTATATAACGGCCGAACTACCCTTTAAATGGATCATCATCATCATCACAGCCTGTCCTCTGTCCACTGCTGAACAAGACTCTCTAACCGATGTCCAGTGCGGTCGGTCCGTTGCCAACTATATCCAACGTGACCCAGCGATTTTTAAATGGATACTCATAAAATATTTAGTATTGTAAGCTGCCTTGCTAACGTTGGACTGTTAATAATGTTGATATCTGTGGTCGTGGGTTGTCAGACAGCGGCCGGAGACGTGCACGGCGCTGGCGCGGCGCCTTGTGTCCACCGCGCTGGGCGTGCGGCTCAGCACCGCGCGCCAGGAGCGGGCCGAGGAGACCAAGCTGCTCACCAGGGCTCGAGGTACGCCCTTCCACACTGCGCCCCCACCCCGCACATGTCTATGAACATGCATCACGCCCTCCCACACCGCGCCCCCACCCCGCACATGTCTATGAACATCGATCTCTTACTGTGTGCTTAGTGCGAGTATTTTAACGTTCTCGATAGCGTAAAAGTTAACCGAAATTTGTATGCAGTTGGAACAGTACCCCTAGCGGCAAATGTACGCAAACGATCCCATTCCATACAAATATGTGGGGGGCAGTCGCTTCACACTATTCATACGAGCACTCTTCATTTATCACCAAAGGCGTCTCTAGCCCGTGTGCAATCACTACCCTCCCCTCCTCCCCTAGCGCCCTCTAGTAAGCGCCGGCTGAAATGGAATAGGTATCAATGCGGGTTCATTGATGAAAGCCCCCTGACGCCGCACACATCCTGACCCATAGACAACGCTGCCTCTGCGGACCATACAATGAAAAGATACAAGCGACAACCCCCCCCCCCCCCCGTGGTTTCGAGACGTCAAACATACATAAGATTATTCTTCTTCTTCTTTATATTTTGACTCCGGCACGGTTTGTGCATTAGCCAGTATCATGTAATAAGATCTTTATAAGTCACCGTTTTCATTATTTATAGTTTATGAACAATAAAAAACGAAGGAAAGTAATCGCGACATAAGATGAATAATTAAAGATTAAAAAAGAATTAAATTTACAAATGAGATGATATGTGATGAAATATAATCTCAGTAAAATGGTGGTCATTTACTGAGATTGTATTCAGTGGACTTTTTGGAGTATCCAGAGAAGCTACGTCCAGCGGCTTTGCTTCATTTTCCTACATTTGTGCACTTTCGCAGTTATGAAACAGTTAATAGACCACCGTTATTACACATTTAAACCTGGAGAAACACTAAATAGACAAAATAAAACAAATCACACAACTTCACTCTTCGCGTTTCTGCCAAAAAGTCTATAAGATTCTTGAAAAGGCCAACATATGTATATCTTTTATTTTTATTTTTATTGCTTAGATGGTTGGACGAGCTCACAGCCCACCTTGAGATATGAGTTCTAAGGTCTCAAGTATAGTTACAACGGCTGCGGCGCCCTTCAAGCCGAAACGCATTACTGCTTCACGGCAGAAATAGGCAGGGCGGTGATACTTAACCGCGCGGACTCACAAGAGTTCCTACCACCAGTATCCTTAACCCGTGTACTATAAAGGCGTGTTTGACTTCCAGAGAAGAAGCGTCAAGCGGCGCTACACAAGGAGGCCGCGTGGGATGGCTCGCTGGCCAATCGATCGCTTGCTGACTCCTGAGGTAACCACCACTTTTTTCCCTACCTAAGCTTTGGTAGCGTTGAGAGGCTATGCCAGCGTAACCTAACAAGTAGGTGAGCGGTGGACGTTGCTAACATTGGCCCTAGCAAGAGCAGTGCTTCTCAGAATCTGCCACCGGATCGGAAACGCGACCCGCTGAGAAGATCCGGCGAGAAACTCAGTGGGCTGTCCTCCACACTAACCACATCAGAGAAACGCCTTTGCTTAAACATAAATAATAGTTTTAAAAAACTAACAAAATATGCTTTTATAGAAAATCCAACAAAAGAATAGAAAATAAATTTAATAAATTTGAATTAAAAATAGTGTAAGAAAAAATGATTTTATTGTAAAAAAAGTGAAGGGTGCATTGTATCAGTAGTTATAAATATATATTTTATGAACAGATATGAGTAGAAGGGTTATTTTGATAATATTCTGAAAAGCAATCTAAGCAATAAAAAAATATATATAATAATATATAGATCGCAATGGTGAGCACTGGCTTAGTAGTGTAAGGTATCACATCTTCGGATTGTTAATGTCCACGGGCGACTCTTAACTATTTTTACATTAAATAAGCTCTTAAGTTTAAGGACATAAGCATGTCTCGCTTATTATAGACTTGGACAATGGCAACTGACAAGGCGCTCAATAAACAAACGAATTCAGTCGACGTTTTGCTCATGACTAGAAACCTCTGTATATAATTTTTGCTCAGGTGGGTGGACGATCTTACAGCCCACCTGGTGTGAAGTGGTTACTATAGCCCATAGAGATCTACGACGTAAATGCGCCACGCACCTTGAGTTATAAGTTCTAAGGTCTCAAGTATAATTACAACGGCTGCCCCACCCTTCAAACCGAAACGCATTACTGTTTCACGGCAGAAATCGGCAGGGTGGTGGAACCTACCCGTGCGGACTCACAAGAAAAATTGTATATATTGTACAAACATATTGCGTTTGTGAAGATAATATTTTGTATTATTTCAGATTCACAAAATGCAGTTGTTTCACATGGACTATAATAACAAAAGGAGGTTGATGGAGGCACTTCATATATTTTAAAACGAGCTCTCAAAATAGTTAATTATTTACATATAATAATATAGATAATGTTATAGAATGTTATACATAGTGTATTTTTATAACGCGTAAAAATGTTTTATCGATAACGTTCAAGAGGTTTTCACGTCCCTAAGACTTTTTAATGTTAAGTTTTTAGTTTTTAAATGTACGTACGTGTTTTTACTTTTTAGTGACGTTATCAATATATTGTGATTCACGAGTGCTTCCTGTTGATATATCGATACTTTTACGGTCTCCAATCCAAATCGTTCGTGAAGAACGTGAGTTTTAGTAAATGTATCGATCGAGATATAGTTCGTCTTTTTCTTTTCTTTTTTACGTATGGCAATTATCTGTCTTCTGTGACTCCATTGTTGCCAGTGTCGATTTTACAAAAATTTGAAAACATTAACTACAATACTCACATATTGTTATATGAAAAATTTAATGAAGCGAAATGAGGTAAGGTCGATTAATTTGAAAATTTCATCGATTTAGATAAAATTAATTGAAATGAGATTAGATGAAATAAAGTCTCAGTAAAATTAGTTATTTACTGAGACTATTTCAGTAGAGTTTTTGTGAGCACCCGAGAAGCAACATATGGCGGCTTTGTTTTTTTTTTTCATATTTGGGCACCATCACAGATGTTAAACAATCGATAAACCATCGCCATGCAAACCGAACCCAAAAAAAAAAATATAACTTCTGTGTTCGGGTTTTCTCGTTAATAAGGTTCCAAATATTATTATCGATATACGTATTTTCGATCGTATCGATCATCCTTGTGTAGCTTGTTAAGTATAGTTCGGAAAATGAGGGCTTATATGCTTCGTCGGCTGTCTCGCGTATCAAGCTATACTTGACGAACTATATGACGTTTCAAAGTGTCAAAACTTTTGATTGTTTCAATTGATATTTGGAACTACATCAACAGCGATCCTGTCATCAAACATTCTTAGCTACTCGTTTAATTCTTAGTTACAATCTGTGACTTAGCTCGTTCACGAAGCCCACTATAGAAAACAGAGTATTATATACACTTGACATTGGCGAAATCTAAAAGGAAACGCCATTAACCCAAGAGATAGATAGATAGACTTTTGGAACGAAAGTAAATTGTATAAAAGTAAATATATTGTGTAAAATAATAAGTTGCAGGACGCGCATACGAAGACGATAGGTAGGGGAGGGGGGTAATATAACGCAAAAATTACCGCATTCAGTTTCTAAAAGCCAATATTGACTAATACTACAATACTAATCGCTATATGAACAAGTGAGACAGCTCAAAAGAGACACTTTTTTTTTCGCTGTTTATACTGTCTCAAATATAATATTTTTTGAAGTGAAACTTCTAATGCGACTTCCAACGAGGTTGCGTTAAACGTTCAACGCTTCTGGGGAGGGGGAATAGAAAGAGATAGAGTGAGAGAGTGAATGCCTTGCACTCGAACGCACGTGTGTAGTAAGTACACTGTTACAGCGCGAGCGTTAGCAACGAGTAGCGGCCAATATTTTAATGAAGTATTTAATTTAAAACAAATTAAAATATATATATCAATATTGAAGATGTCGCATCTCTTATACACAACATTTCCTATTACAAAAGCAATCTGATTTAAAGATGAAAAATGAAGAAAACCACTAATACTGCACATCGAAAAAGAAGTTTCACTTCATTCACGTCCATCAAGCTACACGCGCACCGTTTTTATTTTAATTTCGCTAAGGATTTTTTTTATTTTTGCTTGTCGTAAATTTGCTATATATTTTGCGATATATGCGATATAGTGTAACGCCGTGCACTGCAAGCACAAATTATATATGATTGCGTATGACAGATAGGTGACTTGCAATTATGATTCCTATTACTATGTAGTTGGATAGAGCTGAGAAAGTTTTATCGACTTTTTTGTCTTGTACACCCATGCGTATTTCGTGCCTTTAATGTCTAGTCTAAACGTATTTTTATGTGTTTTTTTTAGGGCAATGAAAACCTCGTGTACGTCGGTTTAGTTTAATCTAAGGGAAATAGTGATGGGAAAATGTATCGATAGATTTTAAATTACAGTACGGTCGTGTGCGCTCGTTCTTCTAAATAACATTAATAAATATTTTTCGATCTCGATACTTGGTTCTTTGTAATTCGTATTCTCTCTTACATATTTCTTATGCAGTGTTGTGTATTAAGAGGGTTCCATCGCATTTTCCTTAGATCCGACTGTGGATTAGGTTCGGAGATCAGTGAAGATGTTAATATAATTATTATCGTTAAGGATTACGTAGTTTAAATAAAAAGGCTAATGTCAAACTTTTAAATTACAAAATAAAATGTCCTCATCGAAAATCGATAACGCCCAATCGATTATTCGTACAAACAACAATGAACTTTAATATGAGTGTAGTAAAGTTGAGTTAAAAAAAACTTTAGTGCTTCCATTGCATTGTTAAACGGATTAAAGTTTGTTGTTGCATGAATTTCCTCATGTTTTTCTTGAAATATTCTACAACCGTAAATTGGTCACAAAACGAACTATAGTTAAATATCAGTAGGGGGCGATGAGTACTGCCGCGATGACATCAGATAATACATTTACCGATTCTATGCGCGAGCAATGAAATTAAAAAAATATAAGTGATGCACGGGGTCAATGACCTATCGCGTCGCGTCGCCAACCAAACTACCTTCAATACAGTGTAGTGCGAAGCTTAGTGTCGGAAGAGACTAATTAAATAAATATTAATTTATATTTATAATTTAGATTTATTGTACGGTAGGCAGCGGCTTAGCTCTGCCAATGCCAGATTGCTGAAGTTCATGGGCGACGGTAACCACTCACCATCAGGTGGGTCGTATGCTCGCCTGCCTACAAGGGCAATAAAAAAGAATAGTAAATGTTCTGCTCTTTGATGTTCTTATTGGCGTTAATCTTTGGAAAAAAAAACCATTACTATTTTGAAATAGTCACGGTTTTTTTTTTGAAAAATTATATACTAAAAAAAAACACATCAGTGTTGACAAACAGATAAGATAATAGAACTCAAATATTTTGTCTGTGCTTATTTATATATAAAAGATATTCAGTTCTTTTATTTTTGTGCTGAAAATTAACCACAACTGCTATAGTTTAGTTTCTCCGAAGCGATGATAGTAATATAATATTACATTTGGTAAAATCAATATTGTTTTTTAGTTTTGGCTTCAAGGCAGTCTTCGTCTACACTGTTTTTTTTTTTCAAAATAATTTATACAAATAGGTGTGTAGTTTTTTAATCGAATGGGATCAAAACAAGTCAATTACATAGAATTTTTCCCTTAAAATCAGCCTCATAGATAACTAACGAGAATCAAATGCGTTTTGACATGTTTGATTTGATTACTAAAAAAACCTCAGTTGAAATAATAAGTATAGTATATTATATAGGTCTTATATATTTAATATAGTATATTATATATTTTCTGTCGGAAAACTAAAATCAGAAAAACATATTATAATAATCGAATATTTGATAATTATCTATACATATAAATAAAATTGGAGTGTCTGTTTGTAATATTGAAATGACCGCTTTTTACTACATGCATATGAATATATATACGGTATATACACTAAAATGTCTGTCTGTCTGTCTGTTTGTTCCGGCTAATCTCTGGAACGGCTGGACCGATTTTGACAAGACTCACTGCTAGGTAGCTGATGATATAAGGAGTAAATTAGGCTACTTTTTTTAGACTAGCTTCGCCCCGCACTGTCACCCGCGGTACAACAATAACCGCGGGTAACATCGCGGGACTCAGTTATTAATAATAAAATTTAACGTTTTCGAAGCGAAGCGAGGGCGCGTCGCTAGTCTTCAATATAAAAATAAGGAAAAAGCCATTTCGGTTTGCAGTTTTGTTAAGCTAGAGGAAATATGTGAAATTTGATCGAAAACATAAGACTACATATTCCGCAAGTCGCCGTAGGAAATGTGTGTTCACGTATGTTCACGTGAGCTCACGGCTGGTTGCCAAATAACTCACAATGTTCACTGTAAACTATATCGTCATATTTGCGTATCGGTTGTTTGTTTAGCGAACCATCGAACCATCGATATTTCCTGAGAGAAATGTAATACCTAATACTAAACAGAAAAGAGCTTGATTTTGCATTTTCATATGTGTTTTACTATATCCTACATAATATCTATATACATACTATCGTTGTGTGATTGAGAACACAAGATTAGGAGTTGGCCTAAATTATTCACAATCTGTCCACAGAAAATCAATATGAACATTGACGCTGACATCTGTAGTAATTTGTTAAATAAACGCTCAGAAATGTATACAATCTTTAAGGTCCATTAAACTTTCGATCAATACGTTCGCCTATATTTCCCAAGTCATAAGGTTCAAAATTGCGAAACTTAGATGTTTGACCACTCGCAAGGCTGCCGTGGATTCGGGCCCCAATCGTGTTAAAAAATATAACGAATTAGCGTACTATATAAATAAGTGATGTAGTTTTTATTTCAATATCGACTTCGCCAATCACGATTATCGATTCTATTTGAATATCGATAATATAGGGTTTAAGTTTAAATGAATTATACTTATAGTCGGATTTTTAATTAGACGAAGCCAGCTGACAGTAGCTAATGTCACTTTGTGAAATAATGTTGCTATATTTAAAGAATAGTGATGCGTTCAGTTCTCGTTCAATCACATGAATGAACAATGAGTCTGAAGAGTTAATCACTAATTTCAAACTATAAAAGAATATTATTTATATTTTACAATAAAATTGTATTAAAGTGCTCCAATATATGTTACCAGTAGTATGTAACTACAATCAGCCTTTTTTTATTTTCATTACCTACCTATAATTGTTATATTTTATACATCTATAGTTTCAACTATATGATGTATTGGAAACAGGACCGTCTTACAAGCTTCCTCGCAATGTTTTTTTTAATGTTTAAAACACACGGTGATCAGTACAGATAGATACTATAGGAACATAATATTTCGTCGAAAACTCGTTGGTATGTACAAAGCACGCCTAAAATTCGAACCCCGTACCCGATACCGGCAACTCGGCACACCAACTATTCACTAGACAATCGAGGCAATTTCATGAATTCAGGAGTTTTTTTCAATCGTTCATTTTGTCACAACACTATTTTTATTTCATCAAAAGCTGACAACACAGTAAACGTCAGTTGACTTCGTCTAATAAAAAATCCGACTATAGACATTTTAAACTGCGTGCATTATACCATTTCGTTTTTATTAGAATTAAAATATTTTTTTGCAATTCTCTTGGATTGCCACACGCTTGTAAATTTGTAGGGTAATTTCTATGATATCGATAATAGTGATTTGAATCGATATAATATGTATCGATACTCGGTGACTGGATTGTCTAAAATCGATTTATGATAATTTTTTTTGTTAAAAAAATATGTCGACAATTTTTAGATAATTGTTACCGATGTTTGCGACCAAAGATCTGATTTTGTGGTACCGAAATGTTAAAGTAATAATACGAAATATTCGCTAAAAATCGTCACACAGAACTCTTTGCACTCGACATAATTTGAATATTAGTCTTTATTGTGTATTTTTCCTATCCTAATTTAAGAAATACAATTAAGAATGTTTTGCGTGATATGTGAAAGAATTTAATCTGCAAACGACTAAGCAATACAAGAATAAATATAACAGCATAATATCAAGCGATTATCGATAAAAATAAAATCGATTTTGTTGTTTCGAATGACACAGTTATAGAACTATTGACCATATTATATGCATGTTACGATTTTAAGATTAATATTTTTAAATGTTGAACAATACCGTCCATAATACGCAATAAGTTTTCACATAATAAATGTTTTGCACACACACACACACATATTTACAATTATTTTTATTTTTTATCTCTTTACGTGGGGGTAACTTGTAGAAGTTCTTTAAGTAACAGAAATCGACTTTAATAATTACTTCAGTGCCCCACGTAGGACACCGGTGACCTACATAACAGTCAAAGGGTTAAGCTACAAGAATTTGATTTTCATGAGATCAGCACACAAGGTAAAAGCCATCGAGATAAATAAATAGGATTTTAAATTTTGTAAATGTGTTTTGTTTTTTTAAACCAATGTGACATCGACATTCATTTTACTGCCCGAAGTTCCGTGTCTTTTCGGGAAAATAAAAAAATCTAACTTGTAATAATAGAAATTAAAGATATTCTTATCAACAAATAATTAATGAACAAATAGTGATTAAAACTTTTCCCGGAAAAGTGCGATGTTCTAAATGGAAATATATTTTGTGGATACAGATATATTATAAATAGTATTTATTATAATATTATCGTTCGATTACCCGGAAACTTCATTGATAATTGTACAAAATTTATCGAATACATTATTTTTGTAAAGAAAACGAAAGTTGAATATGTAAATGAATAAAGTTTATTCTCATTGACTGATTGTGCTGTTTTATTTTCGTTTTAATCAATTATTATCCATTTTACTGGTGGTAGGATCTGTTGAGTCCGCACGGGTAGGTACCACTGCCCTGTCTATTTTTACCGTGAAGCAGTAATGCGTTTCGATTTGAAGGGTGCGGTAGCCGTTGTACTGTTAAAAGTGAGACCTTACATCTCATGTTTTCAACATTTTGAAGTAGTCGTGGCCTAAAGGTTAAGACGTCCGGTGCTATCGTGTTGAAGCGATGCACCGGTGTTCGAATCCCGCAGGCGGGTACCAATTTTTGTAATGAAATGCGTACTCAACAAATGTTCACGATTGACTTCCACGGTAAAGGAATAACATCGTGTAATAAAAATCAAACCCACAAAATTATAATTTGCGTAATTACTGGTGGTAGGACCTCTTGTGAGTCCGCGCAAGTAGGTACCACCACCCTGCCTATTTCTGCCGTGAAGCAGTAATGCGTTTCGATTTGAAGGGTGGGGCAGCCGTTGTAACTATACTTGAGACCTTAGAACTTATATCTCAAGGTGGGTGGCGCATTTACGTTCTAGATGTCTATGGGCTCCAGTAACCACTTAACACCAGGTGGGCTGTGAGCTCGTCCACCCAATCACCAAAATCATCAGTATCACCAAAAATGATAACGACAAAGGTGGAACCAGGGTCTCAGCCGCCATGACTAATCGAAGGTCGGAGTTCCCAAATTGTTTCCAATTATAAGACTGACAAACAACTTGAGTTTATATCTGAATTACTTTATTTAGGTATAAAACTGTAAGTAGGTACTTTCTAATGCGTATATTCTAATGTTTCGTTGGTCCTTTGAAATTCGTATTACTGACTTTTGCGAAATATAAGAAATACAAAAGTAGGCATCAAAAACTGCTGTTTGTTATATCTAAAGTAGTACCCAAATATTTGTTATATTACGTAAGTCTACTTACTCTACCCGTAAGAGACTATTAGTTCTTAACCATGAAATCCTTTACAACTTTGAGGGTTTATAACAAACATTCTGGAACATTCAGCATTGTGCTTTTCCAACCGTATAGTGAAGACTCGATTGCAAATCCCAATCATCACGTCGGGGTCACCAGTTTAAGGGTTTAACGACAAAGGGAAGTTTTTCCACCGAACGGGTGATATTGCTTGATATTGCTGGGTGATATGCAAGCCTATTTTGAAAATGTAAGCGAGATTTAGGCATCTGTCAAATATCTTGTGTTGTATGATAGCTACCGCCACACACCTTATAGGATTACCACCAGAAGCATGCATGACTACATAGTGTTTTTAGTTTATAGTGTTATGTCGTATATAATTTACTTAATTTGAATAATATCCAATCTCAGTTGACAACATATCAGATGTTTTTAATCTTAATGGCATAGGTGACACGGTTAGTGTATAGGTTGTAACGATATCTCCACTGCTTTGTTTTTTTTTAATCTTACTAATCGTTTTGTGCTAATAGTATATCGACAAATACGTTAGCTCCAAACTAATTTACCGTATCGGGCAATGATCGACTTACGATTTTAAATAAGGATGTTTCCCAATCGTAGTCCGACCCGCAACGTTCCATTGTCACGTAAAACAATGTATTTCGAACTCGCAGGAAACAATAAACAATTAATATAAACACATTTAGAAACGCCCACTTCCAGTCATCGTAGTCTCTAACTCGGTAAAACACGTGAAATGAGTCTTATAGTAATATTCGTGTGTCTATCTCGAGTGGCAGCGGAACTGCATTCACTACAGCATCATATGTACGTGTCCAGGAAATCAAGATCCAACTCATCACCCGTACAGTCCGGATACATGTACAGTCAAGTGGATAATTATCCTGGAACTCTCTCCTCTTTTGGGATTGGTTATGGAGGTGCTACACATAATGAACCCGCTGTGAATTATCATAAAACGGATGATAAAATTTATCCTCCCGAATACAATTACTATGATTCAAACGGTGATGTGAAACCGGTGATTGAAGTGACCGAACCGCCCGTTTCAAAATACGCAGCTGATTATGAAATTGCGAAAGCAGAAGCTAAATACAATAACAAGTTTTTACCATCGAAAATCGAAACTGATGCCATGTACGAAAGATTAAAATCGATGATGTATTATCACCCGCCTGAAGGCTATAAAGAAATGAACACAGGATACTCAAGCGATGACTATAACTATGACGATGACGATGTTAGAACGAGTTCCAGAAGCTCTTATGACACTTGGCCATATTATTACCACAGTCCATATGAGTATGAACATATGAAAATCGAAGCTGAAATAGACAAGGCAAAGGATAAGCGGTACGCTGTTGTGCCCATAATTCCTGTACATGAAAACGTGGATGATGTGCCGCAATCTTATACTTCCATAGCTACACCGAATTATTATTCTGAAATTACAACAGAAAACCCAATGAGTGGTCACAAACCTTTCTTCTCCTTCGTTTTAAATGACTATTTTGATAAAAGTAGTGCGGGTGATGCTCTTGTCTTTAAAGGAGTAGATTGGGGTACTGAAATTGACCATGAATCACCTTACAACGACAATTATGCATATGCGAAAAGAAACAGAAGACTGGACGGTTCGACTATCAATGATGGAACTCTGGATTCTATTTTGGGGAGGGATAACGAGAAAACTGTTAAATCTAAGAATTCACACGGAGAATCAGTGACAGAGATTAGTCACGAGAAAAACAATGAATTCGATAAATATGGAAAGGGTCATCATGAGAGGGATGATTTTAAAACTGGCTATGAACACAGCGGCAATGGTTACAGAGGTTTTAAAGATTTCATTGACTCGTTCTCGAATAAATTCGGCACTGAAGATCACAAAAAAGACTCGAAATATATTTTAGAGAGGAATGAAGATAAAGGTCAAAAGAAAAAAGGTTTCCGGACAGTTTATCATAAAGACGAATATCAAGAGGAAGATGAATTTTTTGATAATAGCAATAACAGTGTGAAATCGGAAGAAAAGGGTGCTTCTAAGGCACATATCGGAGGATCGGAAGCATTGTTGCGATCCCAAGTCCTTGGGGCGGCCGGTAATGAGGCCAACGCGTTTGCAAAAACAGGCAATACCGAAAAGAAAGCCTATGAAGATAGCCATCGCGGTCATGACAATATTAAAAGCTTAGACAGCAATTATAAAAAATACAAAGACTTAGTGAAAAGTACAGACATCAGTAAATTGTCAACGTATCATTAGATTAGTGGCATACTAACATTCGCATTAATTTAAATATTTTGTCAATGCAATCTTACTGTTTTATTTTTATTAAGGTTATTGTTAAATAATTAAGTTTTCTATTCAAATAAAAACCAACTGAAAGTGAAGGATTATTTTTATTGTGAAAAATTGTACTAACAGTTTTTCTTTGTCCAATATTTGCTAAATCAAAGCACCATCCCATTCTTAATCACTAAAGGCATTAAAATAAAAAACAAGATTTTTACAAAATAACCCACACTGATATTTGAGGACCATAAATATTTTATTGTATAATTATTCCATTGACTGAGATAACAATCTCAGATTAATTAAGGAAATGTTGGAAATATACTTAAAGTCTTAGACATAACTGTCGCTGTCGGTGATTTCTCCGATAGCTTATCGACATATTTGTGTATCTTCCATGGTGACCGAACATCTCTGTTCGACATACCACGTTCGGGTTCACCGCTTTCGTAATTCTCATCAACTATCTCATCCGTATATTTCTTTACCTCTTTACGATTCACATCATCATCATCATCATAATATTCATCAAATTTAACTTTATTTTCTTTATTGTGTTTAAAAGTTACATGCCTTTGTTTCTTATTTGAAGAGACAGCATTTATAGGTGGTAATATTTTACTTTTAACTTTAATTTCAGAAGCTACCTTTTGTGGTTTACCTTCAGTTGAATCTGTTTGTACATGATGATGTTCTAAATCCTTGTTTTTCGTTCTTGGCTGAAGCGGCTTTCCGCTTCCTATGAATTCGTCATGGTTCACATCAAAGTCATAGTCGTCGAGATTGAAATCTTCATCTTCATGTTCATTCGAGTCTATAAATGTATTTGAAGTTTTGTCCATGTTCATTTGAAAGTCATCTTCGTCGTCCAATTCGTCAAATTTCGGTATCGGTCTCTGAATTAATACTTTCGTTTTTTCTGTACTATTATTTAGACTATTTTTTGTTGTGGTCACATTACTAATAGATCCTCTTGTAAGTCGTGTCTGTTGAACTGGTACTGGTATGATCATCGGATTATATTTGTAATAGGACCTTATTTTCAGCCCATTTGATTGGGTTAACTGATCGATTTGTTCGTTTTCCTCTTTAGAAAACTCCGCTAACGCGTCTTCCTCGAATACGTCTCTCGTGTGCCTTACTACAGGTGCGCCGAATATTTTTGTTTCCGTAGTTGCTTTCGAATTTTTCTCAATTAATCTTTCCTCTGTCGCTTTGATCTTTAATAACGAAACAAATAGTAAATATATTAATTTCATTGTTCCTACTTCACTTCAAAAAGTTCAATACGCGACTAGATGATTTGTATTGTCTCATCGTAGAATGTAAACTAATAATAATTTATGAATATTAAATTACGTCGCGAACAATGAATGTGCGCTGATTAATAAGTGATCTCTTTAAATATTATGATTGCAAGATCGTTGTATTGCTTGCTATATTAACAGAGACCCGTTGCATTATTGTCGAACCTCTGTGTAATTGAACGAATGTAACTTTTATAATACAATTGTTTTTTTACATTTGTTTTTTTTTTAATACTTAGATGGGTGGACGAGCTCACGGCCCACCTGATATTAAGTGGTTACTGGAACCCATAGACATCTACAACGTAAATGCCGCCACCTACCTTGAGATATGAGTTCTGATATGAGATATGAGTATAGTACAACGGCCGCCGCCCTTCAAACCGAAACGCATTACTGCTTCACGGCAGAAATAGGCAGGGCAGTGGTACCTACCCGTGCATACTCACAAGACGTCCCACCACCAGTAAAGTTGTGATATTTCTTTCTTCTCTTCTTCACCATTTGTTTTCATTCGTCTTTTTTCATTACATTCCCATTTGTTTGTTATTCAACTGATTTACTAAGGCTATGAGATTATATATCGACGCTTAAAAGGCAAACGTGACTAAGCGAAATACCTGAAAACAAAATTTATTTTAACGAATCTAGCTGTAGTAGAATCTAGCTAGTAGCTGTAGGACTGAAATGATTTTAATAGACCTAGAAATATATATTTTTTGCGCATCGAATATGGTTATTGCCTATCATTTATGTACAAAGCAGTTATTGTCGCTTAGTTACGTTTGCCTTTCAAGCGTCGATATGCAAAATTAGAAAAAAAATGTAGCAAATATTTATGACGAAAAAACTTTCGTTATTGAAAACGTCTAAAAAGTAATGTAATCGTTTTTATAAGGCGTGTGATATTTTCTTTTTATAGCCAAATGCACTAAGTGGTACCGAGTAGATTGTTGGTGAATAAATACCATGTGACTCGTTTACTGTTTGCGCCTAATTTATAATATAAAAACGATTTTATACTTGCATTTGCTTTAAAAACATCGAATTTGTTTAAATACTGTTTTAATTAAAACAATAATATTCCAGTGTTATGAGTATCAAAATTTACCAGACAAGAATAACCCAGCTCCAAATACAAAAAAAATTTAACCGCGAATCAAACTCGAACCACGCAGCTTAATAGAGTCACGAGCTATAACAATGTGATAAAACCACTTTATACTTTGTACTTGTTTGATTACACAGACTCCATTCAAACAATAACCTAATTTTATTTATCTAAACTTAAAAAAAAAACATTAATTTAATCAGTTAAATATCACAGAACTCAATTACCTGTATGTTTTTATAATTACTCTTGTTTGTCTCGCAAGAAAATAACAATTGCTTATTTATTTACATAACGAAAACCAATCAATCGTCAAGAATGTATTTAAGAACCGTGTATCGGATTACTTTTGTCAATGTGCCGTCAGCCAGAATGAAATTCCTTTTCGAGTTGTTCAGTGCCTTTCTATATTTTAATTCAGTTTCGCCGGTGCTGATGTACTATATTTATGACGGTACTCCTAGTTCCGGGTATCTGGCTTTGAGGAGTAATGGCTTTCCAAAAATCGGACTGAGCGGTATACACGTGAAGCAATACACAAGAGCTGGTCGTCTGAAGCACAGTCGAAATGATCGTATCGTTGATTCTCATTTTAAAGTCAGAAAGACCTCCCCTAACTTCATGGCCCCTGTCATGTTCAGTAATAACGCTTACGATACTATATCAAGAACTAATCGGCGAGAAGAACGAATTGTTTCTAAAGACGTGAGGAGACCCAAGGAAAACGAAGAGTTTAAAATGGCTAGTAAAATTAATCAGGAACATGGCAGACAATCTGCTGATGAAAACGATAGGGTTGCAAATACTAAAGAAGCGAAAAAACTAGAGGAAAACGTAAATAAAGACAATCGACGTTACGATGAAAAGAAAAAGAAGGTTTTCAGCAGCGACGGTAAGCCAAGCTCTGTAGATGTGAACGTGCACAAAACACAAGTTGGTGCAGAGCCTCAACGAGTCAAATTGAATAATCGGCCCGTTTCTAAGTTTTCTGCAAACAAACCTGTCGATTTACAGAACAGAAAGATCCCGATAATTGCCGAGAACTATCAACAGAATCAATATAAAACGAAATCTGAAATGATGTCGAGCGCATCTAATGATTATTCGTTTAAAGTTGGGAAAGGCAGAACTAGAGATGATAAAAAAAGGAATACTAAGATCGAAGGATTAGAACCTAAAAACTCAATCTCTGAAGATAGTAAGTTAATTGACAAAGTTGAACAAATACCCAAACAAAGTCACGCAAATAAAGGTAATGCAAATTTAAAAACACCCTACGCAGTCTTCTATCGTATGAGTTCTGAGCCTTTGGATCAACAAGGAGAATACATGTCTGCTAAAACTGGTCCGGGAAATCAGGAATTTAATCTCAACAACAAAAGAAAAAGATTTCTGAATGAATTGGACCACGGTATTGAATCAAAAAAGCTTCAATCAAAAATGTCTTTAGCAACTTTCAAACTGAACAGTTTCTCTAATTTCAGAACCGCATGAAGAAAACTAATGAAATAATGGTATAAGTAATCATAAAATTTATTGAAACTATAATTATGTCTTCGATTTGTCCCAATGAACAATTTTGTAATACTAAAAGCCTTGACGCCGTTCAATAAATTACATTAATACAAATTTTATAATACTTTTATTGATTTGTCTTTTTTTTGTTGTTTTAAATTCATTTAATTGAACCCGTATCGCACCGAAACTGACTTACAGTCGCTTACTGAAAATCGATTATATTTTAATAGAACCGAAAACGTGCAAAAACTGCTTCAACTAGAAAAAGCGTTAAATCTAATTTGAAAAAAAAAGGTCTTTAACATCGAAATCAATTGAAATTAACTGAAAAAGTTTCATTTATGCTTTGTGTATTTTATTTAAATAGCCATGCTCGTTGCTTAGAGCATAAATACCCATCATGCAAATGGACGCAGCTTCAAAACTTGGCATGCGCGGGTATCTTGCGATTAGATTTAGCCTTCTCCCCAAAAATATAAGAGGACTAGATACCGCAACGCTTGTGGTAGTCCCAAAAATTCACATAATTTAACATTTCCTATTAACAGCTTACTTCATCTATGCTAATATATAAATCTACAGTGGTTTTTACGGATGTTCCATTATAACTACTGAACCATGCATCCGATTGACTTGAAATTTGGTATCCATGTAGAAAATAGATTTACCTAATGGATAGGCTAATATTTATATGAGTGTTGGACTCCCTAATAATAATGACAATAAATAATAATGCTAATTTTAAATGCGCAGCGAAGCGGGCGAGTACGGCTAGTCGTTTATATGTATGTAAAGAAAATCCTTATGTAAATTAAGCAATAAAAAAAAATTAAGCTAATAAAACCTAAGGTTTTTATTTACTTATTTAATGTCGACTTTAAGACTTTCTGTTAGCGACAAATTATATCACTGATGACCATTCGAATTTTAAGATATTCGTGTCGAAGAGTACCTCCTCTTTAATACTTATTTGGAGTCGGTTAAAAATGAAAGTTATCAGTGAACAAACAGGTGTGGTGGGGAAATGTGCTTTTAAAGGTTGTTCAGCGAATGACTTGCGACACATGATTCTATTAGGTTACTAAGTAAATAGTAGTATTTTCTTTCAGCATTACTGCACAAAATTGTAGTATCGACTTAATTCTAAGTACCTTCCACGGACTCTAGAGAATTGAATAAAGGCAATAATTTTATTGGTTCCTGTTATAAGTTCTATGTTTCAACATTAATTGCTAATTTTTCTGATCCTTCATTATGCTCCTGAAAATCGGAGGAAATAATATTGTTAGTACAAATGTTTGTTTTAAATTTTCAAACAATATATTTCACCAAACTATGGTCCAATAATGAGGGTTGGCAGAGAGCTGAGTTAGCTGTTATACTACAAGTATTTAATTCGCATTAATCAATTGAAAACTAGAATATATTATGACAACATTACCATAACAGTCAATGAGCTTCAATTGCTATAAAACATTATGAATCTTTGAAACATTTGCGAGTGTTATTGCGAAACGCTCTGTGTCAATTTTAAATCAATTTATGCACTAAACACCTATCGTTTTTGCGTTCTACGTCTAGTCGAACGCGCAGCAATGCACCGTTTAAATTAATACAGGGTTTTTCATTATCATTGACACAGAAGACCGTTGCCCAATCTAGAGAGCGCTCTCGAACTGGCCCATTTATGATGAATGTCAATGTTCGGTGCAGTATTATGATCACTATATAAATGGTACTCTTGACCTTTGCTGCCATTACTATACGAGACGTTGAAGAAAACATGGCGCGGAAAATCGCGGCCCTCTTACTGCTTGTAGCCTATGGATCCTGCATGGAGATGCGGGAGACAGTAGAGAGAATGGTCATGGTACGTACCACCGGATCTGACCTTCAACCAGCCGCTACCGGTTACATATACAAGAAAAACAACGACGGGCATTCCAGTGTCGTCAAAATGGGCGAAAGTGAAATAATGGAGCAGCTATCGAAACTGTATGAGAAGCCTGAAGCTTATTCTGCTGCTGCTCCGGCCGCGGCAGGTTCTTTTCACACCAAAGAGGAAGACGAGAATAAAGCTGCGTCAGCAGCTAGCGAAACCTATATTAAGCCAGTTGTAGAAAAAGACGAACACGCCGATGGTATTGCTGACGACGATTATGATAAAATATTCAGCGGTTACGGATCAGGATATGATGATTACAAGAAAGGATTTGCAGATTATCTTCACGGACTTAAACATTACGATAACGGCCATGGCCACGAGCACGGTGGTGGGAAAGACTACGGATCCAAAGGGCATCACGAATACGGAGACAAAGGGTTCAAAGGATTTAAAATCATACACCATTACGGAAAGGGTGACGCGGGCGACTACCACACAGAAAAATATGGGAGTTTCGCAATTTCGAAAGAAGGCGGTCACAAGAAAGATTACGACGAAGCCGACGATTATGGAAAACATTATGCTGAAGGACATGGCTACAAAGGTACTGATCACGGAAACAAAGGATCGCACAGTAAAGGAGAAGAGGTCGATGGATACCACAAGGTCTACGATAAGAACGAATTCAAGAAGGACCATGACTTTTACGATGGAGAAGGTCACAAAGGTGGCTACCACAAACATGGAGACGGACATGCTTATCACGTATCAGACGCCGGAAAATTCGAGAAGGGAGGATCACATGACTCTGGTCAGCACAAGGGAGAATTCGGAAAAGGCGGCTTCGTCGAAAAGAAGTCCGGCGACGAACATGGAGCTCAGCACTCAGCTGAAGAAGGAGGGGAATCCTCAGGACACGGACACCGCGAATTCGGCATTAAAGAGGGCAAACATGGCGGCAAAGGCTACGTCTATGAGATCAAGCATTAATGGATATTCGTACAAAATAGTTGTTATAGTATTGTTGATTTTTAGTAAGATTTTGTAAATAATGTGCGTAATTAAAATCGATGAGCCATATGCCGAAAACTGTATTTTTATTGAACCTAAAATATCCTATCGAAATACATACAATATTTTATGATAAAATTTTAATTGGATCTGTTTCTTTTTTGCTACAACCACATTACCAGTAAACTTTGGTAAAAAGTATAAGAATATTTATTATTAACGAAGTTGAAGATTAAAATTATTGCCGTTCTTACAATCGTTTCGCCTTGAAGTGGTGGACTTAGTAAATAATTAATAATTCCAACAAAATAGGCAGCGACAATAAATCAAAGTAAAAAGTAGATAAATCTATTGGTGTGTGGACGAGCTCAGAGCCCACCTGGTGTTAAGTGGTTACTGGAGCCCATAGACACCTACCACGTAAATGCTACCACCCACCTTGAGATAGGAGTTCTAAGGTCTCAATATAGTTACAACGGCTGCCCCGCCCTTCAAACCGAAACGCATTACTGCTTCACGGCCGAAATAGGCGGGGTGGTGGTACCTACCTGCGCGGACTCACAAGAGGTCGTCACAGGAGGTTGTTAGTGGACGATCTGGTTAGCCCGCCGCTTATTCACAGTCCACTGAGTTTCTCGCCGGATCTTCTCAGTTGGTCGCGATTCCAGTCCTGTGGTAGATTCGTTAGGGCTAGTGTTAGCAAATTCTCTCAGGTTGAGCCCGTGAACTCACCTACCCGTCCGGGCGTAGCTGGAATGGCTACTAAGAGGCTTCTTAGGCTACCAGAGAATAGGTAGGGAACATTTTAAAAACTAATTAAAGTCGTTTAATTTGCCTCAAATGACGTCACACTTTAGGAAGTTGTGTTCAGCCGTGTTTTGCCGATTTTGGTGGTGTTTGACTAATCACCAAAATTGCTTAGCTACACCAAAATTAGATTTATAGTTATTTTAGCAATTCTATGTTTATTTTCATTAAATTAATGTGGAAAAAGATTTCATGGTCGAAACAGGATTCGAACCAGCGTCTACCGGAATACTGTTCCGGTGCATCTACCGCTGCCAATACTTAAGCTCCTTCCTCGAACGTTGAGTTTTGACTCCACAGTACGTATTGAGAGGGACGCCATCCTCACATTACGGTGTCAATCGACGCCATCTAGAGATCACCTCCCATTACATTTTGAACTAATAAATTATTTTTATTAACAATGTGACTCTGAATACTCTTACTTCGTGCTCTACGAATATTTTTTTCCACATTAATTGAATGAAAATTATACTACGTGTGAGCTTTTAAGTAAATTAGTAGTATTCCTTCCATTCCAGCGTGTCAAAGAAAACATCAAAATTAAGTCAAGCCGAGCGTTTAGAGAATAAAAGCCGAGAGGAAGAGAAAAGAAAAAATTAAGAAAGATCCAGTGAAACTAGAGGAATTACGAAGAAAAGAAAGAGAAAGTTATCACCGAAAAAAAGCAGAAGGAAAAATCGTACCTTTGAGTAAAATGCCACCACGTACTCGCAGAGCTCATCAAAAAACGGAATCAGATTAATTTTAAAGCATACTACGAAAGGAAAAAAATGACACAACTAACAAGCACTCAACCGCTAAGCTCGATTTGTGAATCTTTAAACGACGACAAGACATCGCCTTCTATACTACCTCGCTGTGAAAGCTCTATTCCAAGTTCATCCCATACACGATTACGCAGTTTGCAGACTCCTCAGAAATCCAAAAGAACCTAGTTTCACTGATTGTATTTCCGACACAAACTCCGCGGAGATCAGTTCCAATCCTCCAAGAGTTCCTTATATTAATCGTTCAAGTACCCCAATTTATCGAATATCTTCACCACGATTAAAATTAAAAATAAAATCAGTCCAGAAAAACGTAAAATACACAATATAGTAAAAGCATTTTATGAAGAAGATGAGAATAGTAAGCAGTGTCCAGGAAAACAAGACTGTATCACGCGACATAAATAAAAAAAACAAAAAGGATATTTAACTGACTCCCTTAAGAATCTCCATCGAAAATATCTAGACCTGGAAGCCCTTAGATACGTAATTTAAATTATATTTAATGTGTCATTAAATAAAAAAAAATCTTATGATAGAAGGTATTTTTATTCTAAACTAATTTTGGTGCTAAAATTCCAATTTTGGTGTATTGACAATTTAGGTGTCGATAATATTTATGTAATTTTCAGGTTTAATTAGACTTTTCTAGCTTTTCATGCAACTATATACGTATTTCTACCTAATTATAGAATAATATTATCCATATATAGAGTAACAAAAAAAAACACCAAAATTAGGTAAAAATTCATAGTTGTCGAAATTCACCCATACAATCTCGTTCAGTCATATATATAATAAAAATGCATTTTTTTTTACTTATTGCTTAGATGGGTGGACGAGCTCACGGCCTACCTAGTGTTTAGAGGTTACCGGAGCCCATAGACATATGTACATCTGCAACGTAAATGCCGCCACCCACCACGAGACATTAGTTTTAAGGTCTCAGATTTTACAGTACAACGGCTGCCCTAGCCTTCAAGCCGAAACGCATTACTGCTTCACGGCAGAAATAGGCAGGGTGATGGTGCGGACCCGTGCGGACTCATAAGACGTCCTACTAACAGTAAAACAGTAATTTTAACAAATTTCACTTTTGATCGTCATTAAACGTTTAGTGATTTTTTTAATTATTTCTGAAAAACACGCATAAGGCTAAATACGCATACAGTGCTCCCGTAATATTTTTCTTCGATCCACATAAAACTTCTTGTGAATGAAAAAAGCATTTCACGGCTGTTTAATTTGTGGTCGGCATCGCGACCGCAGAACGTTGCACAATAGTGAATTTTTTTTTTTCATTACCAACGTCTTTGTCACCTCTAACCTCGTCTGATAAACAATTTGTTACATGGACAAGAAAGGTAACGAGCACACTCACGGTCCTTTTGTCTCTAGGTTTGATATAAATATTGGGTAACGGACTTATCAAATTATACGAGCACTGGTTGCAAATCGGCACACATCTCAGGATGGTTTATATGGTATTATGTTTTGTGGCGGTGATGGGAGCGGTGTCTGCAGTGAAGGTCGACTTCGTGCCTCCCGGTGCTACCAGCTATATCTACCGGAGCGACAACAACGGCCCAGCGAGCCTCATCCAGCTCGGCAGCCTCAAGTACGACCAGCCTCACGCATTTGCGGCGCCATTGCCTCTAGCACAACCATTGAAATTCGGAGCCATAGAAAACTATAAACTTGGACCAGCACCGCTTCCGTACGTCGCTGCCAAGCCTATAGTAGTAGAAGATGCTGAAGAAGACGATGATAGCGACGAATCTTCAGAGGAGTACGCTGGCGGTGAAGAACTAACCGGACTTGACCATGGACATGAATTCGAAAAGGGAGAAGGAAACGACTACGGTGAAAAATATCACTCCGCCCACGGTGAAAAGGGCAGCAAAGGATACCTATCCAAGGGACATCATGATGAAGGCAAAGCAGGACATTACGGCAAGGAACATGGAGAAGGTTACTATAGCGACGAAAAAGGTGAGAAAAAAGCACATCACGACAAAGTCGACGCCCACGGGAAACATCACGAATCCGGAGAGAGCTACAAAGGCGGCGACCACGGACACAAGAAACACTTCAGCAAAGGCGAAGACGTGACTGGCTACCACAAGATCTTCCATAAGGATGAGTTCAAGAAGGATCACGACTTCTACGACGTTGCGGACAAGAGTGGACATTTCAAGAAGCACGACTACGCCAACGAGCACCATGGATCCGAGAAAGGAGCGCACAAAAAGGGAGAACACCACGACTCAGCCAGTGATAAGGGGGAATTCGGCAAAAAGGGATACCACGCTAAAGGCCATATTGACGATGCTCATAAAGGCATTTCTTCTGAGAAAGGCCAGGACAGCTATTACAAACACCACGAGGACTTCGGTAAGAAGGGAGGCAGCGTACACGAAAAAGAACACGCCTTCGAAGATGACGATGAAGAATATGATGATGATGACAAAGAATAGGGAAACCCGTTTATGTGCCTCTTATAAATATGTCGTGTGTTAAGGACTTCAGTATGATGATGTTTTGATTATTTTGTTACGTTTGGTTATACTATTATAAGCCGTGTAAGGTTTTTTTGTATTGCAATTAATAAATACGATGATAATAAAACCATTTGTGTTGATGATTCCCTTGACTGATTTTGTAAACAAATCATGTCCTTTTAACTTACTACTTTGGTTTTAACAACAACATTACAGTTCAATATATTACTACGATTCAGTTAAAATAATAACTTAAATTACATTGAAGACGTAAAAAATCTGATTTTGTGTGCAAACTTTCTCGCTTTACCAGGCTTTTGCATTAGATCTATCTTTTATATTATATCTTATGACTGCTAAAAGGTTCTAATAGTAACGGGTAGATATCCCAATTTTGTTTCGTTTCGGTTTGATGAATGGGGCTTCTGATATGTAACATAACAAAGATTTTGACCTCACGATTCAAAGCGGGTAGCTGTAACAAAAAAAAATCGTTTTTATCGCCTAAAAAAGCTCACAGCCACTTGAAATTAAGATCTTAATTACAAAAACATATGGAAATGGAAATCTCAATTACAATTTACATTAAAGGTCAAACTAATTTTAAGATCGGGAGTAATGCTAATTAATAAATTTTGCAGCAGACTAATGAAAAAAAAAATAGAGTAATAGTTGTGTTTTTAGATTTTTAAGTTACGAACATAAATTATTAGTAATACTTACTAATAAAATGTTATGGTTTATTTNCTTAATTACAAAAACATATGGAAATGGAAATCTCAATTACAATTTACATTAAAGGTCAAACTAATTTTAAGATCGGGAGTAATGCTAATTAATAAATTTTGCAGCAGACTAATGAAAAAAAAAATAGAGTAATAGTTGTGTTTTTAGATTTTTAAGTTACGAACATAAATTATTAGTAATACTTACTAATAAAATGTTATGGTTTATTTACTGAAATAAAGATACATAATAATACTAATAATAATTTAGGACAATGAGACCACTGCAAACATTAACCCTTGGCAGTCTTATGTCGATCGCAAAAATCGATTAATTCAACCGCAAAGGATCAAATAATGATAATTTTAACCATGAAGAAGTCACACACGATCATCTGGCCCCAAATTAGAATTCCTTGTTTGTGCCATGTAATCAGACACAAATAAACATTTAAAAATATAGGTACAAATATAGGTATTAAACACACAAAGAAAGGGCAAAGAAACATGTTCATCATACAAGTGTTTGCTCAATGTGGAAATTGAATCCACGTATACCATCATTTGATCCTACTGCAACATATAGCATGCACGACAGTCGACAACACCGGTCTTCTTCTAATAGGCAAACACCACATTTACAAAATACTTAAATTGAAGGTTACCTTAAAAACCATTGACTTTTTTATGATGGAAGGATTATTTGTGGCCCGGATATCTTTCCAGTTTCACCAGGACAGGTAAGCGAGCAAAGGCTCTGCCTGGATGGGTGGGATTTGGGGGTGCAGCCTGCCCTTCTTTTTCTGACGGAGACGCAGATATCTGCTCCGGATGATACTTCGTACCTTGAATACCCCGGCTACGTATTGGAGCACAACTTCCTGCGTAAAGCCGGGGTGTGTGTATTCGTCCGGGCTGATGTCTGTTGTCGCCGTCTACGAAGCCTCGAACAACGGGACCTGTCCCTCTTGTGGCTGCGCGTAGATCACGGGGGCTGTACCCGAGTCTACGCGTGCCTGTACAGGTCCCACAGCAGTGATGCAGGTTCAGCTCTGATAGAGCATGTGCAAGAGGGGACTAACCGCGTGCTTGAGCAGTACCCATCTGCGGAGGTGGTGGTTCTTGGAGACTTTAACGCTCATCACCAAGAGTGGTTGGGGTCCAGAACCACTGACCTCCCGGGTCGGGCCTCCCGGGTCGGGCTGCCTACGATTTCGCCTTGGCCTACGGCCTCTCCCAGCTGGTGACACAGCCCACCCGTGTCCCAGATATTGAGGGGCACGAGCCTTCTCTGTTGGACCTTCTGCTGACCACCGATCCAGCCGGATACAGTGTGGTGGTCGACGCTCCACTTGGATCGTCTGATCACTGCCTTATCCGTGCTGCCACACCACTCTCTCGTCCTAGTCGTCGAACGACGACCAGGTATCGAAGAGTTTGGCAGTATTTGTCAGCAGATTGGGATGGATTGCGTGAGTTTTACGCATCCTACCCATGGGGGCGGTTCTGCTTTTCCTCTGCTGATCCTGACGTCTGTGCGGACCGTCTTAAAGACGTGGTGCTCCAGGGGATGGAATTGTTTATTCCCTCCTCTGAAGTGCCCGTTGGGGGTCGCAGCAGACCCTGGTATAACAATGCCAGCAGGGATGCTGCACACCTCAAGCGGTCCGCATACGTGGCATGGGATGATGCTAGGAGACGTCGGGATCCTAACATCTCAGAGGAAAGGCGGAAATATAACGCCGCTTCCAGGTCCTACAAGAAGGTTATTGCCAGGGCGAAATCGGAGCACGTTGCTAGAATTGGCGAGCGACTGAAGAGCTATCCCTCTGGGAGCCGTGCTTTTTGGTCGCTCGCCAAAGCTGCAGAAGGTAACTTTTGCAGGTCTAGTCTCCCACCACTACGCAAGTCCGATGACAGTCTGGCCCATAGTGCGAAAGAGAAGGCTGACCTTCTGGTCAAACTCTTCGCCTCGAACTCGACTGTGGACGACGGGGGTGCCACGCCACCGAACATCCTCCGGTGTGATAGTTCCCTGCCGGAGATCTGCTTTACACAGTGTGCAGTCAGGCGGGAACTCCGACTCCTGGACGTCCATAAGTCGAGCGGGCCAGACGGCATCCCTGCAGTGGTTCTGAAAACGTGCGCCCCTGAGCTGACGCCTGCGCTAACGCGTTTGTATCGCCTCTCTTATTGCGCTAACAGGGTTCCGTCTTCATGGAAGACTGCCCACGTCCACCCTATCCCCAAGAAGGGTGACCGGATCGGACCCATCGAGCCTATCGCGATAACTTCCTTGCTTTCCAAGGTGGATGGAGTGGAATAAAGACACGCAACTCCTGAAGTATCTCGGAGGATCGAGGCAGCTGATAGTGACCGAGTAAGTGATGACAGTGGGTACGGTTTCCGTCAGGTCGCTCAGCTGGCGATCTTCTTGTATACCTTACTCACAGGTGGGCTGAAGCCTTGGAGAGCAAGGGCGAGGCTCTTGCTGTGAGCCTTGATATCGCGAAGGCCTTCGACAGGGTCTGGCATAGGGCACTTCTGTCGAAGCTACCATCTTACGGAAGC